CGGCGAGCGATGTTTACCGAGACAGACAGCGATTGGAAAAAGGTCAAGGGTGATCAAGGTAGGACCTGGCAAGAGGGTATGAAAACCCTAACCAGGAGTCTGGGACAAATAGGTCTCGTTAGGCTCCCTAAATGGGGACCCCGAGATGATGGTCACCGATGGTTAGAGACACTGAGTGTCGCAAACAGTGGTTCTCGAACATCCACTCATTATTCCCCAATCACTATTCTATATGAATTCTCCATCTTCCGCTTGAATTTGCTTCCAACATTCCCATCTTTATTCTGCTCTTTTATCCAAATGAGGCACCAAAAGACAGCAACCAAAACCGGCGCACGAAAGTGCATATAAAAGCTGAACTGAAGTGTCTTGCATTGTCAGGCTAGGCTTAGTTTCACCTTCTGTGTGCCTTACCATAAGGCGTGTGCACACATTAAGTTTTCATAATGTTGGTCATCTATTTCTCCCTCAGCTGGTTCGTCCGGTCCTTTGGGAACAAACACTCCAGGCAATGTATGAAAGACCACCGGGCGCTCCGTTTCCTGTCACTGTTGAACCCGGCCCAGGAAGACAGTTGGGTGCAATGTTACGAATGGTCAACCGAAAAGCCTTCGAACGTTACAAAAGTATCGAAGTATGAATCGTTTACGGACTACTTTTGAAGCACCTTTAGATAGTATGATTTTAAAATTCATTTCGAATGTGATCATATATTTTTATCAGCTGCATTCAGTTTGTCTACATTCTTTATCGTCCTTTACGAATAAAGGTATGATGGTAGACTGTGGTTCGCAAACATGAGAGACGCCACTTTTCTTGGGGTTCCCTAGGCAACCAATGTGAAACCAACCATCCTGTTGCAACACGGACTAAGTTGGAATGACATTTGGGTGCCTTACGGGTCGAGCTTTGGCTAGCTAAAGGCTCAGGTTGTGGATTCCTCAAAAAAATTCACCTGCCTTGGCCTGAGCAACCTGGCCACAAACCAATCATGGAACGTCTTTTTTCATAAAGAGTATTGTACCATGATTTGTTTCGCACACAGTCTGGATTCAGACGAG